CAGAGCCATATGCAAACTGGTCCTTGCACTGCAATCTGTGGCCACGGAGCCAAATACAAAATTGGTCCTTGCACTGCTACTGCAGCCGTGGAGCCAAAAAAATCAGGTCCTTGCACTGCTTATGTAGCTGTGGAGCCTGGCATAACAATAGTTCTACTTGCTTGACTTTGGGTGGGTAAGAGAGGGTGATAGAGCCAGCCTTCACAAGGCGAGTGATAGTGAAGAAAAAGATAATCTTCTACCAAAACAACCAGCCTTAAATATCTCATTTGGCCATTATCCCTTACCTAACAATAAGCCATAACAAAAAAACACGTTACAACAATAGTCAAAAACAAACACAAAAGGATACATAAAAAACCTGTAATATGACCGGTCATAAAGTCATCTGATTTCGCAATATGATCGCCCTGTCACTTCGTTAACAGGCTTTTCAAACCAACTCAACTACATACTGCAATAGTAAAATAAGTTTTATACCAAACTTTTTACAGTAAATCATGATAGAAATCATGACTACTAATTCCAATAAAACTAACAATTTTTTACAATAGAAATCATGACTATTATCGCTCTTTTCGATTTAGTTGGATCGATGAATTTTGCAGATTTTATTTTTTGTCCGTGAGTTCCATGAATCCGCGAATCCGAGAGTTTCATATTTGCATATATCTTGCATATAACTAATTGTTAGCTGTCTATTATGTTATGACAATAAACAACTGACAATTACAAATAATTATTATATGCAGGCATATGCATATACGAGACCACGGATTCATGGAACTCAAGGACAAAAAAAAAAATCTGCAAAATTCATCGATACAACTAAATCGAAAAGAGCGATAATTTCAATAAGACTAACTCAATTTTTTACAATAGAAATCATGATCGTTAATTCTAATACTGTACAAACTAACTCAACCATATACGGAGTGTCATCGCAAATGCCTGCAAGTTTTTGTAACATAATTTTTTGTGGTACATCATGACAAAAATTACAACGGTCAATTCCATCAATACAAACCAACTCAACTAAATACCACAATAACAAATTTTAATAAAATTTTTACAGTTCCTAATAGAAATTATGACTGTTAATTTTAATACAGCTACATAATGCATGTACTACAATAGCTTGTAAGTTTCATAACAATTTTTTTAAAAAAATCTAATAGAATTCAATAATGTAATTTTAACATAAAATAACCAAAACTTAACCATACATTGTATATTATTGCTAGTAAATTTTGTACCAAAATTTTTTATAGAAAATATGATAGAATTTATAACCATAATTTAAATACAAAACTAGCTCAACCTTAATTAATACCGTATTATTACAATTGTTAGTACAACAAATCATAATATAATTTACAACTGCAATATAAACTAATACAATTTTAATCACATACTGTTAAGGCAGCAAGTTTCATAGTGTAACAATACAAAAATCATATTCTTTAAAAATTCCTATTTATAAGATAAACTGGGAAGGTTTATATAATGTTCAATAATAACACTTCAAAAGAGGATATGGATTTGGCAGAGCCAAATATATACTTTATTTAGAGTATATGAGAGATGTTTTACAATATAATAAATGCCATCAAATCGTGAATTTCAGACAGACATTGTCTCACTTCGCTTTGGGCAAACGTGATCAAACCCTCTTGTTACCAAATCACCTCTTTTATATGAATTTATCATAAGGACTACACTGCCTACACAGACAGAGGGCCTTTGGATGCTTCGGTCCTTTCTGCTCAAAAATATAAATTGTCATAAGCAAAAAAGTCCAAATGTCAATAATAAAATACAGCCAGGCCTCTCTATGTGCATATCGTTGGGACTAGTTCTAAGGTATGCAGTAGTGATTGGCGCCGTAATCATGTGATGCTAATTGTCACGTGGTAAAATATATAATAATCAACAATCTAATTGTTGATTTTTATATATTGTATCATGTGACAATTAGCATCACATGATTACGGCACCAATCACTAGTATGCAGCACAGGTTTTTTTTCGATTTTTAACAGCTAACCTACCTTGTTTAGAGTGTCAGGAGTGCATCATGTGTAACTTGTGTTTGCATAAGGAGAGCATCTTCCTGCGTTGCGAATACAAAATAAAAATTCCAATTATATTATATATTGTTTGTATTTGCAACGCAGGAAGATGCTCTCCTTATGCAAACACAAGTTATACATGATGCACTCCTGACACTCTAAACAAGGTAGGGCAGCTGTTAAAAATCGAAAAAACCTGTGCTGAGGTATGCACTTAGAGAGGTCGGGCTGTAATTTGTTATCGATAGGTGTTAACTAAAAGTTTTCTACATCAAACTTTCTAAAAAAGAATCACACAAAAGATAAATCAAAAATGGAAAAAAAAATAAAAATGATGGACCAATGTTGCACAAAAACAAAAACAAATTTATTATAAGCATTTTGTATTCATAGTACATTTTAATTTGCAAATTATGACTAACGAACTCATTCGAAATTTAATTAAAGAATCTTCAGATTTGCTTGAGTGTTCTGAAGATTTTGATATAAAAATAATAGTTGGTGAAGAACCAAATATTAAAGAATTTAGAACTCATTCTAGTATTCTATCAGAAAAATCATCATACTTTAAAGCCGCATTGTCATCACGATGGGCAAGGAGAGAAAATGGAATCGCCATTTTTAATAATCCTAATATTTCACCATCAATATTTGAAATTCTTATAGAGTAGGTTTATATTTTTAAAATATGTAAATTGTCTATAAACTAAATTCTATACAGTAATAGTGATTGGATTTGGATGATATTCGGATATTTTTCGATCATCTGTCAGTATTTTTATCAATCAGAATATTCGGTCTTTCCTCTAGTATGGCATCTGGAAGCTATCCGGTTCTCTTTTCTTTTATATTTAATATGCAAATAATAATATACATAATCTTAAAATATTGAATCAATTCACAGCTATCTTCATAAACACTTAGACAACTGAAAACGTTTAATGACCGAATTGATTTGATAATTAGTTGATTCAGTCATAGAATTTTTTTCAGTTGTCTTAGATTTATAAAAACAGTTGTAATATTAATTCAATCACATTAACATCCTTCTCAGTAGTTTGGCCGTATCTGCTTCCAGTAAATAAGGCTTGTATTTTTTTGATTAGCATAAATCCTGGGCTAGCTGAAAAAGTTGATTATAACCGCTTGATAAGTTTTAAAATCAAATTCTGACTCGGTAATTTATTGATTGATAATAGCTGTAATAAAAAGAAATTTTGGAAATCTTATTCAATGCCACCATTTCTTTTTAATATAACATGTAGATATTATCCGAATATCTGAAAGTCCAAATCCATTTGCAAAATTAATATTAGGATATCTGGACTATGTACAGATATGCAAATAAGAAATATGGAATTAACTAAAATATTATTTAACCTTTATAAAATATAGCTATATTCATACAGGAGAATTTTTTAATAGAAATGAAATTAGCCTTCTCGATATTTATATTGCAGCTGATGAAATTCAAATAGATGAAATTTTAAAAAAAATTGAAAAATACATGCTAGAGAATGCATCGGCTTGGAAATTTCCAAAAGACTTTATTAGAATAAGTGAATATAATATTTTGACTAATTTATATCAAATTGCATTAAAACATGTATGCAAAAATCCAAAAATTATCTTTGAATCGGAAGACTTCTTAAAAATTGATGAAAATAATTTAATCAACATTTTAAAATGTAACGATCTTAAGTTAGAAGAGATTGAAATTTGGGAATATTTAATTAAATGGGGAGTCAATAATTTAGATTCTAATTTAACCAAATGGACGAAAAAAGATTTAATAGGACTTGAAAAAGCTCTACATAATTGTATTCCTCACATTAGATTTTTCCATTTACCAATTAATGAACTTCGCTTAGTTATATCTAAATATAAAAAAATCTTACCAGATAAACTTCTTAAAGAAATTTACAACCATTTATCAGATCCTAAACCTAAATATTATAGTTTACCAAGAAGAGAATATATTAATTCTAAAATTATCAAAGTTGAAGATGCAGAATTAATAGCAAGTTGGATTGATGGAAAAGAAGGAATACGTTATCGTTTTAAGGATATACCTTTCAAATTTAAACTTATTTATCGAGCAAGCAGTAATGATTTTAGATTTGATAAGTTTCATGAGATGTGTGATGGTAAGAAACAAACCATTGTCATAATTAAGATCCGAAATTCAAATAAAATACTTGGTGGATATAATCCAATAGGTTGGTACAAAGAAGATTCAATAAAAAATCAGAAAGATATTTATAAATACGATGGATATAAGTTCAAAGAGACATCAGAAAGTTTTATATTCTCATTATCTACATTATCTGATGGAACACATCCCATATTAAGCCGTGTCTGTTATAAAAAAATTGCTTTATGTATGAACAAAGGACCATGTTTTGGTTTCCGAGACCTGTGGATAGAATATAGTACACGAGGATATGCTGTTGGTATAAATAATCAACACTCTTACGAAAAAAAAATTATTGAAGAAAACATTTTTGAAATTGAAGAATATGAAGTATTTCAAATTAGAAGAGCATCTGTATTAACTGGATTTGCCATGTCAATGTTCAAGAAAAAATCCAAAAAAAATTATATATAATGAAGATAATGAAGTACTAAAAGTACTAGAAGTACGTGGATTAGGGATGGGCTCATGCATAGGCTGCGGCATAGTAAAAAGCTGTCCAGGCTGTGGAGAATTAGAACGCTGTGGCACATTAAAACGCTGCGCAATTTGTGGCACAATAAAACGTTGCAATACCTGTGCCTGCATAGTCTGCAAATATGAACTTAAACAAAATATAGGATGTAGATGTGTTAGCCGCTACGGATTAAGAATCTTTAACTGTACAGCCTGTGGAGCATTAAAACATTGTGGCTGCGCTTGCATAGTTTGCAATAGGACTGCAAGGTCGAAAAATTTTGAATAAAACTTTGAAATTTTCCGAATGCAAAAATGATGTAAGATTAGAAGTCGGTCAGTTACAGTTACGACAGGTCATTGACCGATTATAATCGTAACCGATACTGGTCGGATTTTTGACATACCAGTTAAAGTTCGCAGTTCAAAACTGCATGATAATTTTAATTATAATAAAGTTCGAGTTAGATTTGAGTAATTGATGTTGTATTTTTGAATCTCCTATTCTTTTTATATTACGGGCGGTTTGCAAAAAATGTGAAATTTGATGATCAAAAAAAAAAAAAAGAAATCAATGATTTTTGATTCTGATTGCCGATTTTTTTAACATTATAAAATTATACTTCTAATGATGTATGTACGTCAATTAAGACTATTTTTTAAGCTATAATTTTTAATATTATACTTTATAAAGATTTATACGTGTATATGTATAAATAATATTTATTTATATAGTATATATATATTTTTTAAAAAAAAATTAATAATAATCTTTTTCCAATGGCCAGAAGTTATTATCCCGGAACGTGTTTTGGATGCACAAAGTGTCTTTTTTGAGCAACACTGACTTCTAAATATAGGTGCAGAAATATGGTAGTGCCGTAACTAATAGTAACGTCAATTAGACGTAACTCAATGTTGTAACGATACGTCAAAAAGTCATAACTGATATTTGCCGTAACATTTAACATGATTATAATATTCGACGTGTGCCGCAATATTTAATATGTGCCGTAGTATTTGATGTGTGCCGTAACAATTTGTACCTCAACATTTATTTTTTACATTTAATATGTGTTGTGACATTAGACTTTCACCGAATAATCTGGGTTTCCAAACATTG